GGGTGCATGTGCAGGCTGCCGTCCCCACCCCCTTGAGCAAACCCCCGTCTGTGTGGGCAGCAGCTCAGGGATCACCATGCAGCCGGGAGACAGACGAGAGCCAGGCCCTGACAGGTGTCCTGACTGAGATAGGCAGGGACTCACGACCTGGCAAGATCACACAGCCTGGAGAGGCTGAGCCTAGAATTTGAACCCAATACCCATGAATCAAAAACCATGCTTTTGGAATACAAGAGGCAGTACAAGACAGTGTGGACTTGGGTGTTGCCCAGATCTATGTCCGAAGTGTAGGCTCAGCCCCTCAGCAGCCAGGGGCCTTGGGTGAATTTTAAACGGCTCCTTGCCTTGATTTCCCCATGTGTAAAATGGGTCTATGAGTACTTCCGCCTTGTGGAGGTGGTGGAGAGTTGGCTAAGAGAATGGATGATCAGGGCAGGCGTTTGGCCCAGCAATAGAGCTGCTTGGGACACCTGCATCCCGTATCAGTGCCCAGCCCAAGTCCCGGCTCCTCCGCTTCCAAACCAGCTTCCTGCTAATGTGGACCCTGGGAGGCAGCAGGTGATGGCTCAAGTGCTTGGGTCCCTGCCACCCATGTGGGAGACCCACATGGAGTTCCTGGTTCCTGGCTTCGGCACAGCCCAGCCTTGTGTAGCTACAAGTATTGGGGGGCTCAGCAGACAGAAGGAAGACCTCTGTCTCTCTGTCAGCCTCCATGCCTTTCAAACAAAATGAAAATAAATAAAAAAATTAAAAAAAAAAAAAACAGACGATACTTGGAAAGTGCCTGGCACGCAGGTCCTCGGTGGGTCAACTCTGTCACCCTGGATCCTCCACCTGCCAGCCCGGACGGCTCAGGCTGTGAGAGGGCAGAAGCAAGGGGCTCCTCTGGGGTCTTCCAAGGGGTGGAAATCACGTGCCTTAGCCAGGCTGACCCTGCGTGTAGGGAAGGACTTAAGCTGTGTGCCTTGTGCACTTGGCTCTTGGCAGGATATCCACATCTGCTTGGGGGTCTTGGGCTAGGGGGGAACAGCTGCAATGTCAGGTGGGAAAACCTACCATGTGACTGTCACCAAACAACACCCTAAACTGGCTGGAGGAGTTGCTGTAGAACCCCCAAACTGGGCCCACTCACCTGATGCACAGACAGCCAATCGCCGACATCAGGGTGGTGGGAGAGAGTAGGTATTTATTACAAAGCGCAGAGCAAGGAGCCGGGCAGCTATTGCTTAATTCCTGGGCTCCCCAAGGAGTCAGGGGTGAAGGCTCCTACAGGTGGAAACCGGGGCTGAGAGGGGCGTGATCAGCTCATGTCCAGGTTCCTGGTTGGTCAGTGGAGCTTGTGCCCATCCTCTGGTCGGTGGTGCCGTGCTCTGCAGGGAATTTACGGTGCCCAGGCGGGCTCCAGGTGGCATGGGGGTTATGGGCAGGTGGCTGCTGCATTCTGCCTGGACCTGGAATTCCCCTACACAAACCACCCCAGGGCAACGCTGGCCATCAAGGTTCTTATCTGCTGGAAAGCAAATGACTCCTTGTCCAGGGATCAGGACCTTGTAGGGCCAGCTGTGTCGCTCCCTCAGGTCAGTGGATTCCTTTTGATAAAGGGCAGGCAAGGACACTTCAGGCTAAGGGAGACTGACGGGAGGCTGGGGCCTGCTTTTACATTAAGGGGGTTCAGCTTCCTGAGTGAGCAGGGGACTTTGGGCCACACAGAGACCGACATCCACTGAGCTGGGCAGGCAAGCGATGGTGCCGGCGTCCAGAGGCCCAGGAGAGCTCACAGCACAGGCTCAGGGGAGCCTCGGGAAGCAGTGCAGACTGTGTGGGGGGAGGACCAGGGGGCCCCACTGTGACGATCCCCAGACCCCACTTCCTGTGAACCTTTTCCCTGGGCTGACCCTGATCCTGATCCTTCCCCTGAAACAAGCTATAACTGTGAGGATGTACTAAAGAGCCTTCCGGGAGCAGTAAGATCCAGCCACCCAGAGCCCGTGGAGCAGTTCAAAGGTGCATCAAGGACCTGCCGGTACGGTTGGGATGTCAGCTTGGGAGGCCTCCACAGCCCTTGGTCACGGGTTCATAGACGATGGTAGCGGTTGATGGGCTAAAGGTAGGAAGTTGGCCTGTCTCGGAGTGGGGAGCTGGGCCTTTGGGAAGTGACTGGATTGGACTAGGTTGTGAGGGGAGCCCCGTGATCGACGCACGGGCGCTTAACAAGGGGAGAGTACAGGGCGGGGTGAGTTGTGACACCACGTGCAACGCCCACAGCCCATACTGGAACGCAGCTTCAAGTCCCTGCTACTCTGCTTCCAGCTCCCTGCTAACGAACCATCAGCAGAGGATGGCTCAAGTGCGTGGGCACCTGTCATCAACGTGGGAGACCCAGATGGAGCTTCTGGCTCCTGGCTCCTGCCTTCAGTCTGGTCCGTTGTAGCCATCTGGGGAGTAAACCAGTGGATGGTAGATCTCTTTGTCTCTCTCTTTCAAATAAATACATTTTTTTTTTTTTTAAAGAAAGCGAGACTACAGAGTTGGGGAGGAAGAGCGTGCTCTCTGGTCTCTCTGCTTCCTGTTCCACCACGTGATGATTCTTCTGCCATCCTCTGGCCTCAGCAGATGCCCGAACCAACTGGGTGGCTGGCTCTTACCTGTGAACCTGCCAAACTGGAAGGGGAAGTAATCCTTTCTCCCTCTCTGCCTCTGTCCTCACCTTGTTTGCTCATCCTCAGACTTGTTGCTTCATTGTCCCAAGAGAGCTGCTGCAGCTCCAGGCATTATTTTGTGTTTTCTATTTAAAGGGGGAAACCAGCCTTATAATGGGAAAGCAGCACTTTCCAGGGTGGTTCCTTAGCATTTTCACAGAAATCCACCTTGTCAGGGGCTCAGGGAGGGTGCAAAGTGACTGCTGCTGTTGCAGCTCTGGTGCTGAGGGCAGCGGGGGTGGGCGGGGAGTGCCAGGCTGTGCTGGGGGCACCACACTGCTGCTGCTGAGACGCGGGTTCCATGGGCTTTGAACGCACTCTGGCCACAGCCTGGCGCCACAGCCCGGGCGGGGCTGAGGCCCCCACAGTGCTTCCAGCGGTGACAACAGCCAGGTGTGGGCACAGCAGCAGTGGGCAGGCGGGGACACAGCCGGGTCTTCAAGGCTGAGGGCAGCCCTGTTCCCACCACAGGCCCAGCAGGGACACCCAGGCTGATAGACAAAAAGGTGGGGTCCTGTGGGCTCACCCCAGAGACTAACAAAGGAGAGGAGAGGCCTAGGAGAGCCAGAGTGGGAGAGAGGTGACCAGGAAGAGGAGGGGATGGAGCAGAGGTGGAGAAAGGTGGGGGTGGGGAGGAGAGGGATGGAAAGGGGCAAGGCCCGTGGGGTGGTCAGCCGGTCACTGTGAGAGGAACTCCCAGGACCTGGGTGGGCAGCAGGTCAGGCTTGATGTGAGCGCCCGGCTCATGACAGTGACCAGAGCCTGGCTGGAGGGCAGCAGGGGGCTGAGGGGACACACGGGAAAACCCTTGGCCATCAGGGGTCCGAGGTGGGGATCCCACACAGGGAATGGCCACGCCCTTGCCAGGCAGACCCTGGCACATAACTCGTGCCCAGCACATGTGTGCTGAATGAATAACACGAAGCCCAAAGAGGGAGAGAGGGAAGTCCGCACAGGCAGGACAGCGGTGCCCACTTCTCCAAATGAGTGAGCCAGGAGACGGCGAAACCTGTGCACCCGAGGGCAGCTCTCAGGAAGGCACCGGGCCGAGAGCGGTCACAGGATCCGCCCTCCATGTGACAGAAGCCTCCTTTAGCCCCTGTCCCAGCCAGGCCCCCACCCCTCTGGGTGCCCTGGCACCCGCCTCCACTTTAAATCCCCCCACCCACAGCCCGCCGCTTCACCCAGGGAGTTCTCCCTAAAGTAACCACACACTCCCGACACTGCTCCGCCCTCAGACAGCCTGGGCTCCCGGGACCCCCCCTCCCCACAGGAGTGCCTGCCTTCCCTGGCCCCAGGGGCCTGTGCAACTCAGGCCCCGCCCACCGCACCCAGCTCACTCTGGCCCCCTGCCTGCTGCAGTCTGCACCTGGCAGCCACCTTGCTCTTCTGATCAGACCCCCACGCCCTCGTGTCCACCTGCTGCCTTGCGCACAGACACTCCTCTGGGCCTGATGACTCACGTTCTCCAGAACGTCCTTCCTGTCACGTGGCCCCTTGGGGACTCCCTGGGTCCCTGCGCTGCCTCAGCCACTGGACTCAGCCCACAACCCAGGAGACCCTGGAAGTGGGGTGTGTCCCCGGCCGCCCCCACCCCACCCTCGGCATTACACCACAGGCAGAGGAGGGGAAGGGGCTACAGGCTGTCAGCAGAGCGAGGGACCAGGTTTAGGGCCCGGCCAGGAGCCTGCCCATTTGCATGCACCACTGCACCCTTTCAGAGATGGGCACAGACCGGCGGACTGAGTGCCCACTGTGCCAGTCACTCGGTGGGGGTGGGGGGAGAGTGCTTCATCCATCTCACAGCAGCCTGGCGGGTGTGGGGGGATGCGGTCCCACCCTACGGCTAGGAAGCAGGACCCAGAGCAGGGAAGGACACACGCAGGCCCCACAGCGGCCGTGGTACAGCAATCTGACCAGTTTGGTGACTGGAATGGGGCCCTGTGGCCTGGGGCTTGATTGAAACTCTGCCCTCCCCAGGGCCCCTGGCCCAAGGCAGGCATAGCAGGAAGGGGAGGGTGGTGCCGAGTTCCTCAGGGGGAGCGTGGGGGTGGGCAGGACCTCGGACGGGCACTGGTGGCAGAGTCCAGAGGCCAGACTGCAGCCCCCTGCATCACCCCTCTTCCTCTACACCCCTGTGATGGGTCCCTGCTGGTCCCCAGCCTTCAGGCTCCCCTTTTCTGACCTCCAGGCTGCCTCCCCCAGAGCCCTGGCCTGCCTTCCCTCCCGAGTCCCCCATGGCCTCCACGGCCCTGGCATGCTGTGCCCCACCCCCACTGGTGGCAGACGCAGAGCCTGGGAGGCGTGCCGCTGGCTTGTTTATTGGGCAGTCTCAGAAACTAGATAAGGCACATGTGGCCGGGGAACGTGGTAGGCCCCCCCACATCATGGGACCATGGTGGCTGTCGGAGGTGGGCGGGGCCTCAGGGTGGGCACTGGTGAGGGGGCTCCAAGCGCCCCTTGCTCTCTGAGCAGCTCTCCCTCAGTCCCCGTGGTGGGGGGCCTGAGAACAAGCGGGTGGGCGTGACCAGGGGCAGGGAAAAGAGGAGGTGAGGTCGGGGTGGCCGGAGGCTGGGGCGAAAGCCTCTCTGACCTTGAAGGCACCAGAATGGGGGTCCGGGCGGGGGCAGTCCCGGAGGAGGGGCAGGGCTGGGGCTCAGCCTGGCTGCTGTCGCTGAGCCCCGAGGCACTGGCTGGCAGCCTGCCGAGGGCTGCCTCAGCTGAAGTCACGGTTGGGCAGAAGCAGGGGCGCCACCAGCGTCCACAGGTAGAGGAACAGCCCCGCCCAGCTGGCACAGATCTTCACCCACACGGCGGTCCACGTGCTGACCATCTTCCGGGCCTCACCGGGGCTGCAACACACCGGCCACGCCATGAGCCTGGCCCGCAGCTTGTGCCCGGTCCTGTGCCCGGGTTAGGACCCGTGACGCCAGCCCCTGTCCCCAACACTGCTGACATTTGGTGAGCCCAGACACACCACTGATCTGACCCTGACCTAAATTCCAATCTTGACCTGTTTCAGACTTTGAAATTGTCACCTGACTCCTGGTCCCTAACCTTGCAATCCTACTTCTGTGACCTCACACTAGGGCCCTGGAGCTTCTGACAGCACTCCTGACCTCTGACCCTTGAACCTGTAACTGATTCCTGGCCTCTGAACTCATTCCCTGGATTTTTGTTCTTAATCTTGTCATTTCAATCCTGACTTCATGGCCTCCCGACTCCAACGCTAACCAAGTGATCCAGCTCCGGGGCAGGAGAATGTGGGGTGTGTATGTGTGTGCGTGTGTGTGTGCACTCGTGTGTGAGTGTGGGGTGGGCATACATGTGTGCACATGTGCATGTGTGTGGATGTGACATATGTGTGAATGTGGCGTGTGTGGTATGTGCATGTGTGTAAACACGGTGTGTTGTGGTGTGTGTGTGTGCACACTACACTATTGCTTCCCACGGTCCTGAGTGATGTAACATCTATGATTCTACACGGCCCCCATCTCAAACCTCATGACTGTTGTTCTTGATTTTCTGACTTTGATTCTGCCCTCCGCACCCTAATCCTAACCCTGAAATCCTGAATCCCAAAGCTGGCCTGAGACCTGCCCCTGATTCGTACACCGTGGCCCCACTCAGCTCCAGCCCCGCCTCCGGCCGGCGCTCCACCTCTCAGTCATCCTCCGGAGGGGCGGAGCGAGCGCTGGCAGGGAGACTGGGCTGGGAAGGGGCACCGGGCAGACCCCGCCCCCCAGGCAGGCGTCAGGACCACGTGGTGTGTGGGGGGAGGGGTGCGCACCTGTACCAGTTGGTGAGCGTCATCATGATGTGCAGGGAGGCCAGCAGCAGGCAGAAGTGGAAGAAGGAGTAGCTGTAGGTGACGCCGTCCTGCTCGTTGTCGAAGGCTCGGTGCTCGCAGGCGGCCTGCTGCTGCTGCTCCCGCTGCGCAGCCTCCAGCATGGCCGGGCACTCCTCCGTCTGCATCAGGGTGTTCACCTGCCTGTGGTCCGAGGAGCGCACGCTGCGGGGGCGGGGGCGAGGAGGTGGGCGGTCAGAGCCACTGCTGCCCAGGTGGGCGGCTGAGAGCGGCGGGGGGCCCCCGAGCCGTAACGCTGGACACAGATGGTCCCAGAGCCTCGGAGGCCAATGTACCCTTCCCTCCTGTGGGACCTTGAGCGGGACACTTAGCCTCTCTGAGCCTCCTATGGTGCATCTGTGAAATCAAGGGTAACCGTCCTGTCTGTTGAGGCTGCGGGGGTTGGAGGGTGTAGATGGAACAATGATAGAAAGTGCTTGGGATGCACCCCGGGGAGCAGCCTACAAGGGTGCAGACTCCATGTGCAAGGTCCCCATGCCCAGCACCGTGACCCACAGACCCCCATGAAAGAGCCGTGTCAGTCTACGGGGATTGGCAGCATCAAACACCCACCGGGTACCGCCCATTGCCAAGTTCCTGTCTCAGTGGTTTAGACGTTTTAACCATCGACAAGCCAGTGAGGAGGGTACCCTTTTATCCTTGTTTTTCAGATGTGGAAACTGAGGCACGGGGAAGCTAAGCAAGTCGCCCGAGATCACACGGCTAGTAAGCGGCAACGCCAGGTTCAAAGGCAGGCATCTGACAGGAACTTGCTAAAATGCCCCTTTTAAAAACATCCATGTGTTGGGTGGTGCTTGGTGCAGCCATTAACACACTGCCTGCAGCCCATATCGGAGTGTCCAGGTTCAAGTCCCGGCTCCACTTCCTAGCCCAGGAAGACACATCCTGGGAGCAGCAGGTGATGGCTCAAGTACTTGGGTCCCCAAAACCTACATGGGAGGCCCAGACTGAGTCCCTGGCTCCTGGCTTCGGCCTGGCCCAGCTCTGGCTGCTATGGGCATTTGAGGAGTGAACAAGAAAGCAGAAGGAAGAAATCTCTCTCTCTCTCTCTCTGCCTGTCAAATAAAATTAAAATAAATAAATTTCCTTAAAAAATGTTGCTGTGGGGAGGGTGTAGTGACACAGCAGGTTAAGCCCCTGCTTGGGACGCCCTTATCTCATGTCAGACCACCAGTTGGAGTCCTGTCTGCTCTGCTTCCAGTCCGGCTTCCTGCTAACGTGCCTGGGTAGGCAGCAAGTTCTCGGGTCCCTGCCACCCACGTGGGAGACCCGGATGAAGCTCCAGGCTCCTGGGTTCACCCTGGTCCAGCCCCAGTTGTTGCAGCCACTTGGGGAGTGAAGCAGCAGATGGAAGATTCTCTCTCTCTCTCTCTCTCTCTCACCTTCTCTGTCTTGAGGCTCAGAAAGGTTAATTCATTTACCCCAAGGTGGGCCCCTGTCTAGGCTCTTCCTGACCCCACAGCTGCCTGATGTGCAGGGCCCAGCCCACCTCTGCTGCTGCCCACCCTTGCTGTGCCCGCTGAGTGACTCGGTTTCCCCACCAGCACAACGCAGGGACTGCACGTCTCCCCTCCCCAGAGAGCACCCCTCCCCGGCCCAGCACCTGATGAAGAGGGTACACAGGATGAAGACGACGAGGCCCACGATGCTTGGGGCATCCCACCACTGGGTCTCGTAGCCCTCGGGGCCCGCCAGCACCGTCTCATTGTCGTAGCTGATCAGCAGGTGCGGGTTGCACTTCTGGTCTGAGGACGGGAGCACAGGGGCCCTCAGCACACACAGCCTGGGCCTGGGGAGCCAGGTGGCCCTGAGGCTCAGCAGAGCCAAACCCAGCACCAGCCCACGGCAGGCAAAACGGCAGAGAGAGCTCTGGGAACAGAGGGGCTGCCCCTCCCAGGAGGACCGAGCCCAGCAAGGCTGCAGTAGGGGTGGGGGAGGGCAGGTGTCTCGGGCAGGGGCCCACACTCACCAGGGACGTTGGATAGGGCTGACCAGGTGACGAACATGGTGTAGAGCGTGACCACCGAGGCCTGCAGCAGTCCCGAGTTGGGCTGGGCATCCTGGCAAAAACCGTTCGTCAGTGAGACACCTGGCACACCAGGGACGGCCACTGGCACCCAACCAGGAGACTGGGCACCCCTCCCCACTCCGCTCAGGGAGAACGCGCCCACCAGGTCACCCAGCACCCTGCTCACCACCCAAACAGAGGGTCCTAATTCCACCTTCTCTCAACGCCCCTCTCGGAGTGCCGGGCTCCTGCCGCCCCTGTGCACAGCCCTTTCCCAGCAGCCTCTAGTCCCAGCCTGGCTCTGCCTTCGCCGCCACGCCCCTCCCTGTAACCTGTGCTCCAGCCCTGGAAGCCTCCTCTCGGCCGGCCGCAGGCCCTTGGCACCTGCAGTGCCTTCCCCTCTTCCCTACACCACACAGCGAGGCCCCGCCCCGCCAGCTACCCGCGCTCCCCCATGCCCCAAGCAGCACTTCCCATCCGGAGCTCTGGCCACATGGGGCTGTGTTTGAGTGGGGTGCCGGGGCCTCGTGTGCTGACGCTTAAACCCCACTGAGTCATGTTAAGCGGGTGGACACCAAATCCACGCCGGCGGTCAGAGCAGGGGATGAGGATGAGACAAGGTCCCCAGGGGTGGAGCCCCCAGGACCGAGACCAGGAAATGCCACACACACACACACACACACACACACACGTGACTCCCTGTGCCACCGTGGGTCTCTGCCAGCAAGGCTACGGCAGACTTGACCCCTTGACCTCGCACCTCCATTGTCACTCCCCCAGTGTGTGGCACCGCGTCATTGGCCACGGGAAACACATCTCTCCCCCCACCCCCACCCCGCCCCAGGCTACACCTGCACTCAGACACGGGAGTCCAGGCCGTGGACCGAGAGCAGAGCTCCCACCTCCGCTGCTCCCGAGCCCTGTGACCTTGGCTAAGTCTCTCTACTCCTCCAAGCCTCCATCTCCTCGTCTGTCAAGTGGGAACAATAATGGCCTGAGGACCAAACGACAGGACAGACGCCAGGAACCACTGGCTGCTGTGATGACCCCCTCCCCCCTCCCCCACAGCTGGAGGCCGGAACACAGTAGGAGCTCAAGGAGTATCTGAACACCAACTGCTGTGTGGCCCAGGACAGAGGCATCACGCTCTCTGGGCTTCAGCCTTCTTACTGGGAAACGGAGGCTCTGACCAGAAGGGAGAGTCCCTGTGTTTATGCTAACGACCTCTAAAGATTACCTTAGCTACCTGTGGAATGCCTGGGGCCCCTAACTGAAGTCAGGAACAAAAGATGACTTTGGGGGCCCCCAATGACTTTGGGGGACCCCCCGTTGTTTCAGATGGCCTGGGATTTGGAACTGGCATTGAATCCTCCAACACCGCGCGAGCACGTAGGAATCACTGCTCAGTAACTGCCTGACGTTAACATAAAAACGATAACAACAGGAAGAGCTGATGTGGGGGGATAGCCAGACGCTGGCACCGCTCTAAGAGCTCAGGAAAAGGATCTCACTTCTGAGGGTAACGCCAAATACCAGCAGCTATTATCTCCAGTTTTCCCTTGAGGAGAGATAGCACAGAGAGGGTAAGGCACTTTTCCAAGGACACCCAGCATGTAGGTGTGAATGCCGAGATTCTCACCTGGGGACGCCAGCCTGGGAGCCCTACACTTGGCCCAAGGCTTTGTGAGTTTGTGACAGCCCCCCGGCCCAGAGTCCCCCAGCCAAGGGGCTCACCTGGACCTTGGGCAGGACGGCGACAATGGACACAGAGACACAGAGGACGAGGTTGAGGCCTACGAAGGCCTTGCCCTCGTAGCAGCCGTCAGGGTGGGTGTAGTAGATGAAGAGCAGCGTCACGGCGGCGATGGACAGCGTGTAGAAGAGGAAGGTGAAGAAGAAGAGGCCTGGGCCGGAGAGGCGGTGGAGGCCGGGTCAGGGGCACAGGGCCCCCGCCCCCCACCCCGGTCGGAGATGTCGGCGCCCTCGCCCTTGGCTCGCACCTGCCCCCGCACCTGCTCCTGACAACAAGGGCAACAGGTGCAAGCACCCAGCGGAGTCTGGATGTGGTGGCCAGCTGCGGGCCTGCCCGCCCTGCGCCAGGGAGCCCACGAGTCCCAAGAGGGGTGGAGGCCAGAACCACCCCCAGGGGGCCCACGAGTCCTGAGAGGGGTGGAGGTCGCACCACTCCCAGGGGGCCTCCAGCCTGCAGCAGAAGGTCGAGGCCCGGGCAAGCGCTCACTCCGTCCCAGGGTTTGTGGGGCCCGGGCCTCAGCCGAGGTCGCTCTGGGCTGTGTGTGCTCCATCCCACAGGGACCACTGAACCCTCTTCGGCTCAGCTGTCCTCGCATCCCCAAAGCTGGCCCAGGATCCGCAGCCCCCTTCCTGCCCTCCCACCCCATCTGCCCTGGATCATTCTGCTTCAGGCTTTCTGGCACTGCAGGGACCCCCCGATCCAGCCCCCACCCGTGGATGGCACTGACCTGCGTACCAGGCGCGGGAGTCGCACTCCTCGGCCTTGCCCAGCCACCGCTGGTTCCAGGAGTGCGCGAAGTCGATGAACAGGATCAGCTGGATGAGGATGAAGAGGAAGGAGCCCACGACGCCAAAGTAGAACCAGACTGGGGGGGAAGGGCAGTGAGGCAAGGAGGACCCCACGTGGGTGGGAGCCGCAGCCCCTGGAGGTCCTTGGGTGGGACCCTGCCCTGGGCTCCCGCTCACAGCCACCCCAGCACTGGGGGCACAGAGCAGAGTCCCTGGCCTCAGGGAGCCTGCAGGCAGGCACAGGAGGGCACACAGCATGGCAGGGGCTGGCTCAGGACCACCCAAGCTGCCCTAGGCCATGACCGGGGCACCAGAGCGCTCTCCCATGCAGGGGGATCAGGATGTAGCCAGCAGCCTGGGGTCTGTGCCAGAGCAAAGAGCAGCCCCCAAGGGACCCTCCCACCTGAGGCCCCGCCCCCTCCCACAGCTGCCACACCCCCCCAGCCTACTGTTGGAGAAGGAGCCATCAGGGATGTAGAAGGCACCCACGGTGATACCCACGAGGACCAGGAGCTTAAAGAACCAAAACCTATGATGGGAGATGGGGAGATAGAGGCTGAGTGGGGGGAGGGACACGGAAAACCAAAGCCTGGCCCAGAGCCCCTCCCCCAAGCTGACACCCGGAGAGGCGAAGGCGGGGGCTTCCCGATGGTGTGGGAGGCACTGGGAGTCTGTCCTGGCCCAGGAAATACCCGGAGGGGCAGGGGGAAGCACCAGCCGGGGAGAGAGGGGGCGCCAGGGTTCTAGCCAACTAAGGTGTCACTGACGTGCCTTGTGGCCTTAGGTGTGTGCGTGCGCTTTCTGAACCTTATTTTCCCATCTGAGAAACGGGTTGAACTAGATGTGCTGTGGCCTCAAAGCTCCGGCGGCTCCTGGGTCTGCGGGCAGGGTCTGGGAACGGAAGCCTCACCCGTTCTGGATGGCAGCTCGGGGGTCCCTGCTGCTGCGCACGCAGATCATGAGAAGCGTGAAAAGGAAGAAGAAGGCGGCCGTGGCGAAGCACATGCGGTAGACGGCGCGGTGGCCGAGCAGGGAGCCACAGTCGATGTGGCCCTGCAGGACCACGGGGGTCTCGGTGCCATCCTCGCACACCCAGGGCAGCTGTGGAGACAGACAGGGCAGCTGGATGGCCCCACCCCCCCGATCCCCGCGGGCTCTGGGCATGCGCAGGGCCAGGCCTCCTGCCTCCAGCTCCACGCCCACCCAGCTCTGGGCTCCTGTGTGGCTCCCCGCGGCCCCAGCGTCACGTGAGCCCCAGGGCCTCAGTCCGAGCCAGGAGTCCCAAAGGTTCTGCCTCCACCCCACAGACTCCAGAGCTGTGGAGATGCAAGGGAGGGAGAGAGGCTTGCGGGCCCCTCCCTCGGAGCTGAGCCCCACTGCGGGGGTGAGAATCTGCCTCTCTGCAAACTCCCCAGGGGCTCACGCTTGCTCGCTTGCACTACAGCGAGAGAGGCACCGCCGGCTGCCCTACTGGGCCGTGAGAAGGACCAGGAGCTCCAAACTGGGCCTGAGCATCAAAGGAGGGTCCCCGGGGCTGGCGTCTGGGGCAATGGGGCTGGGTGGGCACTGTGGCACAGCCGCTCGGGACACCTGCATCCCATCTGGGTGCCGTTTTGTGTCCCATCCAGCTCCCTGCTAATGCACCTGGGAAGGCAGCAGAGGATGGCCCAAGTGGGAGACCCGGATGGTGTCCCTGGCTCCTGGCTTTGGGGAGTGAACTAGCAGATGGGAGATCTCCCCCCACCACCATCATCACTCTACCTTTTAAGTAAAACTAAAGAAATATTTTTAAAAAATCCAAGAGGATCATGGCTTAAGAGAAACAAAACTTCCCACGCGGTGGGGCAGGCATATAGTGCAGCACTGAGCACCTGGGTTCATGAATTCTGGCTCCCCTTCCTATTCCAGCTTCCTGCTCAGGTGCGCCCTGGGAGGCAGCAGGTGATGGCTCAAGCGGCTGAGTCCCTGCCTGGACCGAGTTCCAGCTCCTGGGTTCACCCTGACCCATCTTGGCCACTGCAGACATTTGGAGAGTGAACCAGCAGGTGGAAGCCAGCGCGCGCTCTTTCTCTCTGTCGCTTTGCCCAGCCCCAACTCAGTTCCACCCTGAGATCTCTGGGGCACCCAACACCCTGGCACCTCTTCTTCATTAACTGCAACCCCAGTTCTGGAGCAGCTGTCACCTCCCTCTGGAGTCCCTCCCACTGGAGGCCGGGCAGCTCGCCCCGCCCCGCCCCTGGCCACTCACCTCGTGGAGCTGACTCTCCGCCCCGCCCCCGGCCCCGCCCCGGGCCCTGCCCCCTCACCTTATGGAGCGGACTCTCCACCCCGGCCCCGCCCCACCCCGGCCCCGGCCACGCCCCTCACCTTGTGGAAGCGGGGCCCAGGGGCTGAGTCTTACAGGCAGGACGCCTGTGAACCGGGAGGGTCTGTCACTGCGCCGCTCCCCGCCCCGGCCGGGTGTACGGCACGCACCACCCCCCGCCGGCTCCACGTCTGCCCTGAGCCAGGCGGGACACTCTTCCCTGGGTGACCCCGCAGCCCGAGCACGAGGCCGAGGGGGCCGAGCCGCGGAGACTGCCACAGAGGTCGGCGCGAGCCTAAGCAACAGAAACTGGGTTCAAAGCCGGATCCCTCCCCAGGAGACGCGGCTTTGGAGAGAGGGCGCTGGAGTCACATGGTTTCTTATTTAAGAGAAGAGAAAGTGGCATATATATATATATATATATATATATATATATTGTGATGCCGGCATCCCACATCGGAGCAGCGGTTCGACTCCCGGCTGCTCCATTTGCTAATGCACCTGGGAAGTTAGCGGAGGATGGCCCAAGTGCTTGGGCCCCTGCAGCCCCGTGGGAGGCCTGGATGGAGCTCTGGGCTCCTGGTTTCAGCCTGGTCCAGCCCCGACTGGTTATAGGTATTTGGGGGAGGAAACCAGCAGATGGAAGATATCTCTCTCTCTCTCTCTGTGTCGCTCTGCCTGTCAAATAAATAAGTAAACACATAAATCTTTTTAGGAGCTCAGGACAATGCTGCCACCGATCCCCTAGGTGGCCTTGAACAACTCACTTGGCCTCTCTGAACCTCAGCTTCCTGCTCTGTAAGACGGGGACCACAGGCGGCGGTGGTGGGCCTGAAGCAGGAGCTCTTGCTGGCCCCGTGTCCCTGGCCCACCAGACCAGGAGCACCTGCAGAGGTTTAGAGTTCAGTGGTTTCCACTACTCCCCCCGGGCACACGAGGTCTTCCCTGCTGTGCTCACTGGGAAGCTGTTCCCAGACACCGAACAGTGCCTGGCACCCAGGAGCTCAGGGACTCTCTGTTAAGTGAGTGCCAAGCGTGTGGCGCAGTGTGACACATGTTAAGACCTCAAAAAGCAGCCAGCGCATAATAAACGTGGATTGGATGGGTGGACTGCACCGTGAGCGGCCCTTTCCTGCTCTAGGACTATACCACCTTTGGACAGCAGGTGGCGGTCTAGCCCACGCGGCTGTCAGGCGTCCCGCCTTGGCCGGCTGAGATCTTCGAGCAGCTGGCGACGCCACCCGGTCCACAGCTGGGACCCAGAGGAAGCTCAGGGCTCGGGGACCCCGGCCCACAGGCCCCCCTTCCAGACCCATCCGGCCCTCGGCGGCTCTCTTCCCAAACAGCCTCAGCCCCCATGACGGGAAAGACGGCACAAAAAAGTCCCGCAGGTGGCACCAGACGCCAGATGGACGCTGCGCCGCGAGGCCCACGGACGCCCACTTTCCACGGGGGTGAGGGGGGCGGGGGCAGGGCGGCCCTTCCTGGTGAAGTGCACCGAAGCTGAGAGGGCAGGCGCGGTGCAAGCGGAGGCGGCCCTGGGACACCGGAGCTGGGCGCTGGAGCAAAGGGGAGGCGGCCCGTGGCGGCAGCCTGGTGAGCTGGCACGGCCACACCCTGCAGGGCTGGGCGGCGGCACAGGACCAAGGTGTTCCTCCTATGAGTAATGGCAGCCACCGGAGGCACAAAGCTGTACGATGGGCGTTGGGGAGAGCTGCTGCTCCCCTGAGACCCCCTCCCCCATTTCCTGCACTGCTCCGCCTTCCCACCTCCTCTTACGTCTCCCCAGACTGGAAATGCTGTCTTCTCCATGGTCCTCTCACCCGCAAGGTCTGGTACAACACGGATGCTAAATGAATGCTCAGAGAGGAATGAAATTCTCATGGTCCAAATCAGAACAGTCCGCCTCCCTCAATATCCACCCCCCCCATGTTTGTTTTCATCTACTTGAAAGGCAGAGAGACAGACTGACAGACTGAAATCTTCCATCCACTGGTTCACTCCCCAAACGCCCCCAACAGCCAGGGCTGGGCCAAGTCGAAGCCAGGAGCCCAGAACTCCATCCGGGTCTCCTGTGTGACTGGCAGGGACCCAGGCACGTGAGCCCTCGTCTGCTGCTTCCTAGGCACCTGAGCAGTGAAGTGGCCAGGACTCGAACCGGTGCTCATATGGGATGCAGGCATGCCAAGCTTAACCCGCTGGCCCACAACGCCCGCCCCTCCGAACTTCTGGTAACATCTTGCCGCTGCCACTTCAAGCCCTGCCTCCCAACTGTGGAGGTCTTCCGTGAGGGGCGGGCTGAAGGGAGAAGCAAAAGCCATAAAGAACATTCTGGTTATCAGACAGAGCAGGTTCTTACTCTTACTCTATTTAGTATGGAAACTGAGACCAGAGAGGTTAACAAGCCTGGCAGAGGGGCCGAGGGGCAGGCGTTAGGCACAGCAATTAGGAGGCTGCTTGTGAGGCCGGCACTGTGGCATCCCATATGGACACCAGTTCGAGTCCCGGCTGCTCCACTTCCAATCCAGCTCTCTGCTATGGCCTGGGAAAGCAGCAGAAGATAGTCCAAGACCTTGGGGCTCTGCACCTGCATGGGAGACCAGGAGGAAGCTCCTGACTCCTGGCTTCGGAGCAGCACAGCTCCAGTCATTACGGCCAATTGGGAAGGGAATGAACCAGCAGATGGAAGACCTCTCTCTCTCTCTCTGTAACTCTTTCAAATAAATAAATAAATAAATTTAAAAAAGAGAGAGAGAGAGGTTGCTTGTGACAGGAGGTTCAGGTACTGGCTGCTCAGCTTCCAGTCCAGCTCCCTGCTAATGCACCTGGGAAGGCAGCAGAGGATGGCCTAAAGTACTCGGTTCCTGCACCCACGGGCAGACCCAGATGGAATTCCTGGCTCCCAGCTCTCCTGGCCCAGCCGTGGCTGCTGTGGCCATTTAGGAGGTAAACCAACTGATGAATGACCTCTCTCTCTCTCTGCCCCCCCCATGCCTTACAAAAGAAATGAATAAAACGTTTTTAAAATGAAGCTGACCAGATGTCACACAGCCAATTGATAACAGCCCTGAGATCCCAGCCGCCATTTGCGAAAGCCTACTTAGTTCCAGGCACAGTGGCAGGCGCTGATTCACTTCTCAACTACAAATGGGGAGACTGAGTCAGGGGCCACCCAAAGGTCACAGAGCAAGTGAGCCTACTGGGCACTGTGTGCACTAAGGCCGGGCTCTGCCACAGAGCCACACTGCCCCCAGCCCACGGCCTCACTCACGCAGTCTCCCTTAGCTGAAAACACAGGGAGCCCGAGAGGCGCTGAACCCAGCAAGCAGGTGCCCAGCTGCCCCGGGGCCCTGAGCCTGCCGTGCTCCCGTCTCCACTGCAGACACAGGAGAAGCTGCCCCACTTCCAGGGGGCTGGGCCTCCGCTCTGGTTCTTAGGGATCAACCGCAGAGAGACCAGCGCAGAAGCAGGCACCAGCCCCAGAGCACCCTGGGAAGGCTCATGCCCTGGGATCCCTTCATCATCTCTGGAGTGGCTTCTCCGAGTCCTTCCTACAGAAATCCCAGCCCCAGGGGCAGGGGCGGGCACAGGTGCACGCCTCCCATGTGAACGCACGCGCGTGCGTGCGCGCACACATACGCACACACAGGCCCCCTGGGACCCTGTTTGTCGCAGGAAAACGACAGGAGACATTGAGAGCAGCCCAGTGCCCATCAGCATGGCGCTACTTTTACACTTTTTTTCAATTTTAAAGAAAGAAAAAATACTAAAATAGGCACAAAGCCTTAGGTTTCGTGAGCTTGAGAGAGTCTCAAGGAACTGTGAGTGATGTAAGTGTCCAACCCCTGGGGCAGGTGGGGGCCGTTTACTCCATGGGGTGGCACGGGGGCATAGCAGGGGAAAGTGGCCAGGCTGCAGAGCGACCCGGCCTGAGGCTGGTGACGCAGCGTGACGGGCCAGGGCAGACCCTCCCACTGTCCCTGCCCTAAGATCTCACCCCACTTCTCTCGGGAACGGCAGCCAGGGAAAGGCATCAGAACCTGGCAGTGGTGGAATCGTAGGCACGGGTGCGTGGAGGAGAGAACTCAGAATCTAAGCAGCCCTGCCTCTCAGCGTCTTAAAGCTGCAAGGTTCCTTGGCAAGCAACCAACCCAGTGGTTTTCCAGCGAGGAATCAGCCAGACAGAAGCTGGCCGACCTCTGTGGCTTGCACTCAGCCAGCGACATGCATCTCACTCCCTCCTGGGGCAGGCTGGCCGGCTCCGGGGCCCTGAGTACTTTGGCGGGGTGTGAACAGGTGTCACTGAGTGGGCACCACTCTCCCCTGGTGGTGCCCAGGGCCAGGAATGTGGGGCACTGGGTGGCACAGCTAAGGGAGCTGTTCTAACAAACTGGCACTTCACTTCCTGAAATGTGACCAAAAGAACAGGAAACGGGGACTCCAAGGGACATTTCACAGCCGCGTCCACAGCGGTATTTTCCGCGGCGACCAAATACCCACTGCAGGCTGAACAGATAAACCAAATGCGGTCCCCACGAGCCGCCGAATATTACCAAGCCTGCAAAAGAGAGGGGGTTCCCGCACATGCGCAGCGCGGGCGAACCCCAAGGACATGAGGTAGAGTGCAATGCGCCGGACAGAGGACCAGCGCGGTACGACTCCGCTCACAGGAGACACCTCACTGGCCAAGTTCACAGAGAGAAACTCGCACGAGGGCTGCACGGGGCTGGGCACGTACTGCCTCAGGGAAGCTTCAGTCTGGGGAGATGGGAGAGCGCAGGAGACGGACGGGGTTGTGGCCGGGGCCCGGGGGGTGGGGGGGACACCTGCACAGCCATGCGAGTCCCCCTGATGCCAGGAACAGTTATGACGACGGCACATTTAGGCCCGTATCTTCCATCAGGAAGCTTCTCCTGGTCTCCCATGGGGTGCAGGGCCCAAGCGCTTGGGCCATCCTCCACTGCACTCCCGGGCCACAGCAGAGGGCTGGCCTGGAAGAGGAGCAACCGGGACAGAATCCGGCGCCCCGACCGGGACTAGAACCCAGTGTGCCAGCGCCGCAAGGCGGAGGATTAGCCTAGTGAGCCGCGGCGCCGGCCTAAGAGAGCAGAGTTTTCAAAGAGCAGGAAGTCAGCAAGGTGAGGACAGGGAGCCAAGTGAGAAGGAACGTGACTTCCTGGGCGGCTGGGCAAGGGAAGCCACCGGCGGCAATGGAAGTGACGGCCAAGGTCCCCGCAGCCCAGGCCAGGAAGTCTGGACTTTATCCCGGAGGCAGCCGGGAGTCATTGCGTAACAGGAGGAATGGCACCGACGGGCAGCGAGAAAGATGGCTTTGGCTGCCGGAGGGGAGACGGCCCAGGGGTGGCGGTCAGCACCGCGGGGGCTGGGCGGAGTCGGGGCTCTTTGCCCATCTGGGTGAAAACTGGCGTTCTGGGAAGAAAGTGGGTTCCGCAGCCATCACCATGCACCCTGGGCGGCAGGACGGACTCCTGCGGACGACGCCATGCGTTTGGGACAGATAGGGTGGGAGCAGAATGTGTCACAAGGTCACTTTTAATATGCGTGTCTCCTAAAATAAACTATAAGCTCCTTGAAGACAAAAACGGGTTAAAAGTGTCAATTTTATATTATCTACGCTTCGTCACACAACCTAAAGGCGAAAACCAAAACACGCCTGCATGAACAGCTCCATCATTGGCTGAGCCACACATGCAAGAATCCGACCCCGAGGAGAGACCCCTTGGGGCCTGCCGATGGCCTGTGCGGTGCCAAGAACACAGGTTCTCATGCTGGCTCTGCCCATTGGCACCAAGACCTCAGTTACCTCTCTCCCCGCCCCCTGTGGGATTCAGCTTCCTCATCTGTAAAATGGGCCCTGGGACAGGACAGCACCGCGGCTCGGAGCCCTGGGTGTCGCCGACGTCACCACTTCCTCGCCTGCGGTCCTGAGCAATGTTCCACCTGGGGCGCTGATGGAGCGGCCACCACGCGCCCGCTCCACGCTCCGCGCGCTGCTGCGCTTCTCTCGGCCCTGGTTCACCCTCACAACAGGCTGGGGGCAGGGGCCCTTGTCCCCTCCACTTCACAGGCAAGGAGGGGGCAAAGTGACTGTGCAGGGCCACACAGAGCAGAGGAGGCCAAGCCAGGCCTGCCTGCAGACCCCCAGCCCCCGGCCCTCCTCTGGCCCCGTACAAATGCTAAGAGTCCCAGTGGGCAGATGCAAACATGTCACTGCTGGCAGCCTACAAATGTCTTCCCCAGCAGCCCATGCACCCAGAAACAGCCCTCCCCCAGGCGCCTGAGGGCCCCTCTCAGA